GGGCCTTCCTTTGCCCTTTAGAAAGTAAGCACATGGTAGCTGCTCATGTTCTGAGGAGGAAATATTAAAAAGAAGTGTTCACAAACAGAGTGCCTCCTTTCATCAGATCATTCTGAATTTTCATTCTTTGGATCACTTGAGGCGTATTCAAAACATCCCACTGTGGTAAGCGTGTTACCCATGCTTAAGAATTCTGTTTAAACCTACACAGGCTGCCTTGGGAATGGCTAGAGAATGAGCCTCTTCATCTAATTGGATTACTCTTCTCTTTTCCTTTGAGTGTGGTTCACTGGGGAAAAGTTCTGTATTCCTGAATGTAAGGTGCTTTTTAAAAATCCGCCTTGATTATGTTACAATGCCCCTATTAAAAGTGGCATTGCTTATCTAAAATGAAATGGAGTGTTTTTCTCTTTACAGAAAAACCCTGCTTCTTTTCGATGAGAAGCTCTGTGGACTACATATAACTCTTCATTTTATAAAAAAAGCAACCAGCAAAAGAAAAAAACCCACATATTCTGTTAAAGAAATTCATATCCATTTAAAAATAAAAACAAAATTGCACTGACCAGCACACATGTTAGTGCTTTAAATGTTAGATTTGTTTCTGCTGATTTTTTTAAAAAATGACACCACTTTATCCCTATGGGCTCTCATTTTCGGGATAGAGAACTTATGCCATAGACCAATCTTCAGGATATTTTAATATAGGATTAGCTAGCTTGAGATATGGTGAAGTCATGTTGGCTTCATGTAAAGTAGTTTGTACTGTATGAAATATTTAGGTCATGTTATACTGCACATGGTGCTTTTTGATTTAAAGATTTTTTTGAACAGTGAAAATTACATGAACTTGGAATTTTTACCTTTATTAGGAACTGAATAGCAGACAATTCCAATTTGTTATCTTAAAAGGGCTCTAGAAATAAGAGTTACTATTCAATAAATAAAGGGCGTTGATGGCATAGTGGGTTATGTGTTTGACTGCTAACCCAAAGTTCAGCTGTTCAAGCCCACCAGCTCCTTTGAAGAGAAAGATGAGACTTTCTGTTCCCATAAAGATTTACAGCCTCCGAAACCCACAGAAGTTCCACTCTGTCCTGTAGGGTCATTCTGAGGTGTAATCAACTGACTAGTCGTGACTGGTACAATAAATAGAGATGCAAATATTCTGAAACCCAAAATGAGTCTGTCTGAGTTAAAACTGCTTTTATTAATATTAACAACAGGTTGTTAATGAGTCTACCTCAAATCCTGATGGCACATTCTTCTTCTTCACATCATCCAGTTTCTAAGGCCATTTATACTTGTTGACTACGTATGACTAAAGGATGCACCACTGAAGTGCATTTCCTGATTTAAAGTTACACTGTATCCTCTTGTTTGTGCAAATGACTTACTGGGTCATGTACACCTTCTAAAGGAGCATAGTTAAATGTTCCCAATGTTTGTCCATATTTTGTTATGAACTACTCGATATAATGCCTGGGTATAGTCACTAAAACACAGGTAAACATCTTCCCAGTCTTCTCTCCTTCACCTTATTCCAGCACATAGCATCAGTGATATCTCGCGCTCTTTATCCTTTGCTGAATAGAACTTAAATATCTAGTAGTTCTTTGTCAGTGTACTTTTGCAACTATATTTGAATTATCTTCCGCTGGTGATTTAATGATACTGTTCAATCATTTCCACATTATCTCAGATCACCTTTCTTTGGGGTGAACACAAATAGGAATCTCATCCAGTTGTTTGTAGGCAGCAATCTATTTCTGTGCAAGCATTTGCTGCACTGGATCTGTTGACGGAAGCATCTCAATTTGTATTCCATCAATTCCTGGTAATTCCACCAATGCCCTCCATACCGTATGGACTTCTTCCTTCGATGCCATGCATTCTTGATCAGATTGGTTCTTGAAATGGTTATACATTTACTCATTCTTTTGGTACGGTGACTTTTTAAAATAATGTATTCCCTCCATATTATTTTGTTTATTTGTTTTTTCCTGTATCACTCAATCCTTTTCCATGAAATCCTTCATTATTTCAATTTTTTAAATCACTTTATTAGGGGCTCATACAACTCTTATCACCATCCATACATACATCAATTGTGTAAGCGCATTTGTACATTCATTGCCCTCGTCATTCTCAAAACGTTTCCTCTCCACTTAAGTCCCCGGCATTAGGTCCTCATTTTTCCCCTCCTTCCCCACTGCCCCCTCCCTCATGAGCCCTTGATAATTTATATATCGTTATTTTGTCATATCTTGCCATTATTTCAAGTTGACCTTTGAACGTTTTCTTCAGTTCCTTCAGCTTAAGAAATGGCAAATGTATCCATAACTTGATTTTCTAACTCCAGGTCTTTTCACATTTCATTATAATTCTTTACCTTGCCTTCTCGAGCCACTCTTTAGAACTTTTCTGTGAAGCAGTTTTATTTCATCTTTCATTTTCCTTTCATTCTTGCTACTCTACAGTAAGCGAATGTTTCAGAGATCTTTCTGACATCCATTTGGGGTGTCTTTCAACCTGAGGTGCTCATATTCTAGAACTATATCAGAGAATGCTCCTCCATGTTTCTTGTGTTTTTATGGATCGAATTTGTTAGAACCAGGTGGCCAAGTCCTTCTTCCCAGCCTCTTCTTAGTCTGGAAACTCCACTGAGACCTGTTTATTGAAGACCTTGCTGATCCCATAGCTTCCAGCATCACAGCAACAGGTAGCCACTACAAGCTAAGAGATGAGTGGTAATACCGAGGTGTTGATTTATCAAGTGAGTAAAATAAACTGGGTAATTCAGGCCAATTCTTCCCAAATAGCTAAACCAACATGGTGGCACCCATGTAACCCAGACAGCAGCCAGCCCGGGCCCTGTCAGGGTCATAAGTCAGCATGCTGAAGATAGTGTGCCGGGCACTGGGTGAGATTCAGAACCCAGGCAGTGATCTAGATTCCAGTTCTTAGGGTGTCAGAGGGAGGGAGGGCTAGATTTCCTTCTGCCCAGTGGAGCCTGCCGACAAGGTCACCTCCTCCAGGCCGCCCGCAGAAAGCAGTCACCATCCAGCCTAGCCAAGGAGATGACCCACCACCTTCCACATTGCTCAAAGACCACCAGATCATCCCTGCAGGTGAGAAGCTTGCTGATGTTGTGAGAAGACTCTTGTCTTTGGAGATGGCTAACAAGAAGGAGAAGCTAAAAGTCAAGCAAGAGTTGTTGGTGAATAAGATCATGGCAAAAACCTCTCCAAAACCAACTGTGCCCTCTTTGAGAAGACGTGCCAGGAGCTGGGCACTGAGCACACCTCCCCCGCTCTGCTTCAGGAAGGCTACCGCTGCTGGGTGGCCAAGAGGGCACTGTGCCTGTGGGTGTTCCAGGAGGCTCAAACACTGAAGAAGCAAAAAAGGGCTTTAAAAGCTGCAGCTGCTGCAGCCCGGAGACAGACCCGAGGGGCCCAGAGGGGCATCTGAAGCCAGGCCAGAGGCACTCAGGAAAAATCAATCAAGGCTCTTCCCCTGGGGTGGGGGAGGGATTCTACCCAAATAGCAGACGGAAATAATGGGGGTTTTCCTTTAATTACCCAGAGAAATGAATGTCTTCCTTACGATTGCTTCTGGAGATAGCATCCAAGTGTCCCACTTGTACTTGGCCATCTTACGCAAGGTCATCTGTGAGAACTGGACAACTACCGATCCTCTTTGCTAGTTGAAGTGTACTTCTACAATGCAAGGCATAAATTGATTCTTAAATATTTAAAATGGCATTTTCCACTCTCCCTCCCTCTCTTTCCCCATTCTAATGATAATTTGCACTTATGGTCTTTTCCAAACAAAAAATGTCATACTTGGCAACAAGTAATGAGAGGTTCAGATACTAAAATTCTAGTAGAAAAAACTAAAGCTTCTCTTTACAGCATACAACTAGCAAAAGGTAGAGAGACATTAGGATTTTGAATTCTTTAAAGATTTCTGTAGTGTCCTTTAAACAGTCTGTAATAATTAAAGTAAATTCGTTTCTGTAGAACAAAACCCTCAACTTATTAATGGTTTAGCTCAATAGAAATTTATTTTTTGCTCATATAATGTCTAAAATGGGTGTGGCCATTGGGCAAGTTATTCTCTTCCAAGAGGCCAGATTCTTTCCATCTTATAATGTCTCCAGTTTCAATATATGTCCTAGTAGTTTATGGCCAGAATACTGAAGAGCATGGAGCATCATGGGTAATAGTTTCATGGTATATGCCTGAAAAACTCAACCCCACTGCCATTGATCTGATTCTGACTCATAACAATACAATATAGGGTTTCTGACACTATAAATCTTAAGGGAGAAGGCACAATTTATATTTTCCCACATTCATTGGTCAAATTCAATTTTGACCTTGACTGGCCAAAAATGAATCTGTAAATGACCTTAACTCATTATATGCCTAGGAAGAAGAAATGGGATTAGTAAAAAGCCTGACTAATCTTTGTCATAGTTCTTAACTTTTGTTCCAGATATTAATTCTTCAAACTTTCCGAAAAACCTGTGTTGTAGGAATGACATATACCTTTGACCTTTTCACATATTGACTCAGTAAATAAACTTTTGACTTGAAATAGAAGAAAAGTAGTATTATTAGAATAAAATTTAAATCTAAACAACTGAAGGAAGATCTCTTTTCCTTTTATAGGGATTCTCAAGGCCACTAGTCAGGCTTTTACTGTAACCACATCTGCCTTCTTTTTCACAGAACTTAGTCCAGTCCAAGGCAGTTAGCAGGTATCAATGTCATTATAATTATTGTTTCACTAAATTGCCCAATACTATACACTTTATGAAAGCGTTAAGGAGCCCTTAAGACGATGCTTCCCCAGAACAAAGTTAAATGACATGAAACTGGAATAGCGCGGGCAGTGAAATCAGAACAGGGAAGGATTAATACTATTGGAAATCGGTGAGGCCCGCCCCCGCGAGCTCCGGAGCGTCCGCGCGCTCACACCCGGCTTCCCTTCAGCCTTAGCCTGCGTGCCGCTGCTCTCCAACGCTGCGCCGCCGCGGCCGCGCGGGCCGGCCCTCGAGGCTTTCTGCACTCCGTCCCGGCCCCCGGCCCCGCCGCCGCTGTCCTGTCAATTCGCTGCTACTCCCATGGGTCTCATGAGACAGACGAGGAGTTCGATGCTCGCTGGGTGACATACTTTAACAAGCCGAATATCGATGCCTGGGAATTGCGCAAAGGGATGAACACACTCGTTGGGTATGATCTGGTTCCAGAGCCAAAAATCATCGATGCTGCTTTACGAGCGTGCAGACGCCTAAACGATTTTGCTAGTGCCGTTCGCATCCTAGAGGTTGTTAAGGACAAAGCAGGACCTCATAAGGAAATCTACCCCTATGTCATCCAGGAACTTAGACCAACTTTAAATGAACTGGGAATCTCCACTCCAGAGGAGCTGGGCCTTGACAAAGTGTAAACGCCCACAGGCGGGCTTCCCAAGGATTTATTGGTATTGCTACTTGCTTGTCAACAGTCACCTGGAAATACTGAAGATAACATAATTACCTTTTTGAACCCGTTTTCCTTTATTGAGTACCAAACCATGTAAGAATAACTTGTGTCTTAATAAAAGGGAAACGAGTTTCAACTGAAAAAAAAAAATACTATTGGAAATCATAATACACTTCCAGACATCCTGGATAGCGTGACATACTTATAGGAGGGACATTATAAGTCAGAAAATAGTGTCATTATCAAAAATTGAAAATTATAATTCAAACACATAGACATTTTTGGCTATTCTTAGATCTGTCTGGGACAAAGTACAGCTAGAATACTCCTTAGAATTTAGGATAGTGAGATCTCATATTTTTTGACAGGTCATCAGGAGACACCAGTGCCTTCAGAAGGCCATCGTGCTTAATAGAATAGGTCAGCTCAAAAGAGAAGGCCCCTCAACGCCCTGGACTGGCACAGCGATCGACACACCAGCACCCACATAATGAGAGCAGGGCGTTTTGTTGTTGCACACAGGGCCGCCACACAACAGAACTGCATCCATGGCACCTGAAAACAGCAGCTCAATTGGATGGGCTTGTTCTGAGTCACACCCTTCTTTAGGGCACTAGATTAAAAAATATCTAACTTGTCTGTCAGTTTGTTGCACTGTGGTGGCTTGTGTTGCTATGATACACGAAGCTATTTCAAATGCTTGCAGGATCACCTACAGGGAACAAATTTCAGCAGAATTCCAGACTAAGAACAGGGAATAGGTTGTCCACTTGTGAGGAGTCAGCTCCTGAAAATCTTATGGACAGAACTGAAACATTGTCCAATTTGGAAACCTCACAAAAAGAAGTAGAACATCGTCAGAGACTATCATCGCAAATACCTTTCAACAGCACAGCAGGAGACTATACACATGAACTTCTCCAGACGGAATGCACAGAAATCAGGTTGACTCTATATGTGGGAAGAGAGGATGGAGAAAATCAATATTAGCAGCTAAAGTAGGCCAAGGGCTGACAGTGAAACAGAATATCAATTACTCATAAGTACGTTCAGTTCGAAGCTGAAGAAACAATACAAATCCATGATAACCTAAATATGCCTTTGAGACTATCTGCATTCGAGGAAATCTCCAGAAAAGATTTGACTCATTAACCATTAATAGCAATGGATCTGATGAGCTGTGGAATGACATCAAGAATACCATACATGAAGAAAGCAACAGATCGTTAAAAGACAGAAAAGCAAAGAAAAATCAAAGTGCATGTCAGAAGACACTCTAAAACTTGCTTTTAATCATAGAATAGTTAAGACACACGGAAGAAATGAAGTCAAAGAGCTGAACAGAAATTGTCAAAGGGCAGCTCCAGAAGATATCAAATGTTATAATGAAATATAAAAACACCTATTGTTAGAAAACCAAAGGGAAGAACACACTCAGCATATCTGAAACTGAAAGAACTCAAGGAAAACATCGTCTTGAAGTTGAAATATTGAAAGATTATATGAGCAAACTATTGAATGATGTAAGTAGCACCAAAAGAAGATGGAACGAATACAGAGTCACTGTACCAAAAAGAACTAGCCAGCATTCAACCATTTTAAGAGGCAGCATATGAGTAAGACTCAGTGGTGCTGAAGGAAGAAGTTCAAGCTGAGCTGAAATTAGCTGAAAACAAGGCTCCAGGAATTCATGGAATATCAATTGAAATGTTTCAACAAGCTGGGGAAGCAATGGAAGCACTTCCTTGTCTATCCCAGGGAATTTATAAGCAGCTACTTCCTACTGACTAGAGGAGAGCTCTATTTGTACCCATTCCAAAGAAAGGTGACACAACAGAATGCTCAAATTATAGAACAATTGCATTACTCCTACATGCAAGTAAAATTTTACTGAAGATCATCCAACAATGGTTGCAGTAGTACATTGACAGGGAGCTGCCAGCGGTTCATGCTGGATTCAAGAGAGGATTTGCAGCAAGGTATAGCATTACTGAAGTTTCATGGATCTTGACTGAAAGTGGAGAATACGAGAAAGATATAACTCGTGTTGTATTCATTATGCCTAGGTGATCTACTGTGTGGACCATAACAAACTATAGATAGCCTTGAGAAAGCTGGAACTCCATAATACTAGAGTGTGCTCATGAGGAACCTGTAAATGGATCGAGGCAGCTGTGTAAACAGAACAAGGTCCTACTGCATGGTTTAAAATCAGAAGGAATGGATCAGTGTTGAATCCTTTCACTATACTCAATGCCAGAGTTCCCAGAATTCTCAGCAGAAGGCCATGGCCACACAGAGGCCTCACTGGTTATATCTTGATTGACAGGTCAGACTCCACCCCTTCACTAGCAATCCTCTCAAATTGGCACCAGATTATGTAACTACCACAGGTCTAAGGTAGGCCTGGCCCAAGCCATGATATTTTCAATCAGCTCATAGCATGTGAAAGTTGGGCATTGAATAAGGAAGACCAAAAAAAAATCAATTCATTTGCATTATGTGTCTGAAAAAGAATATTAAAAGTATCATGGACTGCCAAAAGGACAAACTAATCTGTCTTGGAAGAAGTAGGGTAGAGTACTTCACAGAGGTAAGCATAGCAAGACTTGATCTCATGTGCCTTGGATAGCTTAGCAGGAGATACCAGTCTCTAGAGAAAGACATCATGCTTGGAAAAGTTGGGCAGTGAAAAAGAGGAAGCCGGCTCTTCAACAAAATGGCTGCATTGATGGGCTCAAGCATAAGACTGCTTGTGAGGATGGCACAGCACCTGGCAGTGTGTGTACACTTTGTGCTGTACAATAGGTCACTGTGAGTCAACTCAAAGGCACCTAACAACAACAACAAAAATAGGTTTGAACAAAAATTTTAACCCTGTTGTTCACCACATTACAGTCCTGCCCTTGACTAATCTAGGAAACACACACACACACACACACACACACACACGCACGCACGCACATGCACACGGACACGCACACGCACACACACATACACACAAAAGAAGATTCTAAGTCCAGGTAGAGAATTAAAGCTGGAAAGGAGGCTTCTATCAAGGGTAAGGTAATATGAAAATATGAGCTGCTTCAACATCGCTTTAAGCATTTTGGAAGCAATAAAATAGTTACTTCTGTGGTTATGTCTATCTAAATGAGAAAATTCATTCTGATACATAGCTATTATTTTGTTCTGTTTTTTATAGGAATTGAGTAAAATTGGTTTATTTCACATAACTTCATTAATTTTGACCCTGAATAGTATTTTAAATGTACCTTCTTGAGAGTAAGTATGAGTAGTGGATAAATGAGTAGGAGTGACCATATACTGCATCCTCACAGGAAAACACAACTACACTTCATTGTAGTATCCTTTTTGCATTGACTACTCATCCTGATCATTTGTAAACTTGTATCATGACATCAGCAGGTGAAGCATTGACCCTTGCCTTTAACCCAATGTGGGCTTAGAGAAAGTGGCTCGTGAGCCTTCCAGCTGTGACCTTGGACCTTCCTTCTGTTTCTTGGAATAGGACACACATATTTTTACCCTTGAGTGTGATCGGTTTAAAAATGGGAGTGACTCGGCGGGAAGATTTAGGGCTTTCAGGGAGAGAAGAAAGCATACACTGGTGACAGCAATTAGTGTTCAAGAGAGGCATTGTCTCACTTTTCGTATGATTTCTATTTGACATGAGATGCATTCGCAAACTCCTCTCATAAAATGTATTTTCCTAAACACATGCCATTTGGGGCTGTGAACTACGTTTCACTATCTTCATCCCAGCAGAGACACGGCTGCGGCTCTCCTGAGATTTCCTCTTCACTCGGAATTCTAGGTCTTCTTTGAAAAAGAGACAAGGGGTATCAATCAGGGGCAAAGAAAACATGATAATTAGACACTTCAAAAGGTCAGCTCATGTTTCTCAACATCTATTACAGCAGAGAATTCAGTGAATGCAAAAGTGGTCTCCTACAATCATCCCTCTTCAACCCAGCCAGGCCATGTCCTTATTTCTGTCCCTCGGTAGCACCTCCGTGAATGCTAGCGGAGCTTATAAAGAACCACCTGAATGCATCCTCAGAAGGGCCCCCGGGTTAAAGGAACTTGGCGTTGATGAAGAAGGAGCTAGCTGCAGATTTCTAAGAATACTTGGTACTTGGTAATCATTTGGAAACGTAGAGAGGCAGAGAGAGGGGCAGAGGGCCTGGGGGTTGTGTTTTCTAAATGGTTTCAGGCCACTGGCACTGCAGCAAGAGCTAATGCAAAACAGATGGCGAGTGCTATGCCCTGCTGATTTTCAACTGAGAGCCTGCCTCTATCCATGATTAATCACCTGTACTGGGGGTCCAACAATCCTGTTTGTGTGTGTACCTAAAGTTGGGGTGCCAGGCAAGGACAGGCATAGTCCTTGGTGTTGCTGCTTATATACATGTGGGACAACTTGGGCTTTTTGCAATAAAAACAAGATTAGCTAGCTAGCTGAGCTCAAGTTAGGAAAAAGTAGCCTGATTGTAAAGAAATGGCTAGCAGAGTGGTCAGTGCCCTTCTTTTCCTTCATTTATTTCACCGTAAGAGTTAATCAAGGAGGAAGTTTCACAGCAGCTTAGTAAATTTGCATTGCGCACTTAAAAAATGTCCCAACCAAGAAGGTAAAGAGAATATGTTTACCTTTAGTAGTCTTTAGGGCAAAAACAAAGTATGGCTCTTTCTCCCACCTGACCTACAAACAACATCCCTGGTTACAATGTGAGTCGGATAGGAGTTTCCACTTCACACTTATTTTCCTTCTGTGAGTAGACTGTGAGACATCGATGGTAATGAAACATGTGTGCATCCACATTCGATCAGTACAACTGAAGGCAAGGGCAAAAAAAAATTCCATCTTCAGAATTTTCAAGTGTGAAGGGAGCTAATTTTCCATACTGGTGTTTTTACATCGTTGGATTTTTTTCCCAGCATGTGTGAATGTTCAGATATGCAGCAGAGATATGAAATGCAGTGGATACCATTCTCAGGTACACTTTTAATTGGAGAAGTTGGCTAAGAAAACCAACTACCTCAATGGCCACAGCTAGGAAGCATTATGATGAATGGATTTGTGTCTCAATAATCCCAGCATGGGCATTTGGCTAG